TCCGTTCATCACAAATATCAGTCATATTGCATTTGTTATAAAACAGTTACTTTGACAAGTCGTTCATTATTTCCCACAAGGTTTTTCCAAGCACCACTAATTACCTAAAGGCAATTTCCCAACGAGTATAATATATCGGGGTTTTCCTGTATCTTTGATTACCCTGTGATACTGTACAATGGAAATGTTTTATTTCGCTTACTTTTGTTATATGATAAGCATTTATATACTAAAAAAATGGCGTTTATACCAGTGATGTCATTAAGGCTATGAAATCGTATTGATAATTAATCATATGTTATTCTAACCGACATTTCGACCTATTTGCTTTATTAATTTTCGAAACATCTACATCATCCGATACGCTGCCGCAGGTGCACCTGTACTCCGGTCCTTGATCAATCAAGTTAACATTTCCTGTCGAACTAAACTGAATCCTGAATCTTCGTTCCTGATATAGCTGGCGTCATGAAGGATGCACTGTCGGTTGCTGATAAGTTGTGCAAACAATCACTTATCTTGCGCACGCATTCATATGTGATTTTATGTTTCCTTTTCGTGCCGAAAGACAGAGTCACGTTCTATGTATCATAGCAATAAAATAACATTCACATGTTTTTCAGCTGGCTGCCAGACGTGTTTTTTCCCCGCCTCGTTTATGTCTATATTTCCCTCTGCTTAAACACTTCGTCCTCGAATGTTAGGAACGACACGACACCGAGTCCAGTTGTCCCGTTTTCGAGCGTTGCGTCCGATCGATGGAAAGCAGCCTGAGCGCCTGTGCCTCATTCCTTCTCGATTAGAACGCACTTGGTTTCAATTCGCTTTTGACGAAGCTATGGCAGCTGCACCCGATTCGTTTTCACCGTTGGTAAAAAACTGAATTGCGTCGGTACGAGGCGGCGGCTGAGATCCCGTGATTGTGAGGATTCTCCTTGTTCCTCGCAGTGTCAGTTTCGCGATCGCGATCGTTCAGAGATGGCTGTTGAAGAGCACACTGTTCCGATAGAACATGAATGGGATACGGAAATGTGGGACTGGCCGCTGCAGAACGACAGCGTGGTCAGGGTGATTAACACGGCCGAAAAATTCGAGGTCTCGTTGGACGTTCCGTTCTTCACGCCCAAGGAGATCGAGGTATGTTTCATGTTGAGCATGTAAATACACAGTCGTTACGATGAGGCTATAAAACTAGGTAACGTTTCTGCGATCATGACTTCGTTATGACTGGGGGGGGGGCGTTCAGATACATTCCAGCATCGGTGTCTTAAAACAAATACGGTAAAGGGGCTGTACAGACGGTCGAGCGTCGGATTTGGTCGATCCTTGATCAGATTAATTGCCTTTCCTCCAAACGAGGTAGGAAGATAAATGGGAAAAAAAATTTGTAACTGTTGGAATGTCGGTCTTGCTTACATTTTTATCGAGACATACATGACAACCTTCTTTTCATGAAGTTATTGGTGGCGCGCTGATTTCAATTTATGTGCCATCAGCCAAGGAGCCATTTCTTTGAAGGCAGACCCAACAGCAACTCTGTGGCAATCGCAGTGTTCAGTTTCCTATCATTTTCCCACAGGGTGGATTTATCAACCTAGGAAGAAACAAATGATGAGTGATCCTTGACTTAAGCTCTAACACTGGCTTAACACTGGATCTCTAGGTTCTGAATCCGACGCTCCATCGACTGAGCAACCCCGGTCTGAGGCAGTTCCTTGCAGAAGGAAATTCCTGGTTAAAACAAAAACTGCTCCCTGCTGGAATCAAACCTGCATCTGTGGAGTTCGAAGCTGACCTTTCAGATACTGTCAAACTCGTTATTTGCGAGATAGCAGTACCACTACCACGTCTTTGAAAAAAACAAAAGATTATACGCTATGATGGTCGCCCATCTGTAGTAATTGCAATCGAAATACTAAAGGCCTTCTAGCTGATGACACAGAAACGGATGCGTAGCTATAAGTTAACGTAAGAATTCCTTAGCACTACAGCCTATGGTCAATGAAAGAAGGGTGCCCCAAAAGAGTGATTGATTCAGTCATGAAAATGTCAAAAAAACTGATGGCACGACGATCACAGATTGCCCTTCTTTGTTATGATAGCTGCACGTCTATATTTTCTCTGTTGTTCCAACAGGTACGCAACTAGGAACAGATTATTTACTGCGTTTTAACTGCGTGCCAGTGAGTTTTCTGTGAGGTAAATACTAGGCCATTAACTGTTGTTAACTGCTAGCTGCCTACGAGCGAATTTCTGTTTAGACTCAATGAGTGTTTGATTGTTACGGGAGAGTGGGCATATTTAAAATCATATAGTTTCGCCATTTCATACTGTCATAGA